TATCTTTGCTCCCCCCTCTCCCCGCTTCCCCTCATGCCCGTCTTTCCCATCCGTCCCCACTGCCGTCACCTCCCCCGTCTGCCTTGCCAACGTTCTTCCCGTTCGCCTCTTCCCCCTTCCCCTGCCTGCCCCCTCACCTCCCCGTCCCGCTCTCCCACTCTATGCTTCACGGTAGTGCCGTTGCCAGGGGCCGGCCGAGGCGAGCCGAGGCGGCCGAGTGTGGCCGAGGCGGCCGAGGTAGCCGAGGCAGCCGAGGGCTAGCCGAGCCGGGCCGAGCCGAGTTTTAGTAGTTGCCCTATTTCTGATCTACTTTCCTTTTGCTCGCATTTTTCCACTACGGCCTCACAGTTCGCAATTGCCGGCAACCAGATTTTTCGAGTCACCACTGTTACTGCCTAGGACACGATAATTAGCCTTAATTAGCGGCAATTAACCTTTCGGTGCAGTTTGCGGTTGCATTAATGGATTCCGTTTATGCCACTCAACTTCAGCTGTTCTGGGATGCGTGCAACGTGGCACTTGGTTTGATGCCACTGCCCGTCCGCTAGTTTCCTTGTTTCTTTGTTCCAAGCGCGCATCAGATATAGTCTTGCTTAACTGGCGTCACGCTAATTGATGAAGCGTGCCCTGCCTTCGTGGATGAACATGAAAACAAATCCTAGCAAAAATGTAGCAAAACCCAACACACCTTTTGCGAGAGTCATGCTTTGTACAACCCAGTTTATTGCACAGATTTTTGCGAAAGTAACCTTCAGAAGGTGAAATGATCGCATACACTAGGTTCAGTGATATCATTCTGCTCTACGCATGCGGCCATTTCGACGTAGTTTTCTTCGGTGGAGCTTTGGTATAAAATGCTCACCGGGTAAGCTATTTCGAATAGACCGCATAATTTATGCTCATGATTTTAATGATACTGTATGCAGACGTCAATAAGCGATAGGTCCTGGAGCCTCAGAGTAATAGATATGTTCACGAGGTAATCTAATCGAATGGTAGCGCATGTATTCTTCATATTTACAATTTTAAACGTTGCATTTCGCGAGGCGTCAGCTCCTGTTTGGTTTTTTTTTCGGTAAAGCCCTAACACATGTGTATTAAACTCGTAGCGACCAGCATACCAAGACACAGAAACACGTATTAGAGGCTGGAGCCCTGCTGGCTGTAAAGTTACTTTTGCTATAGTTTTTTTTGCTAAGCTTTGTTTAGAGCGGCGTTGACAATAAAAAAAGATAGCAAGAAAAAGTTGTCAGCAATAAAAGTTAGTTCAAAAATCAATCCGTCTTCCTATTCATTTTTCTAAAAGAGGCGATGGTATTCCTAACTTTTTCGATTGGAGGCACTTGATGTTAAACGTGTACCTGTCGCCGGTTAAAAGCACTTGATTTCAGGTATGTGCCCGCCCTCCAGTTCTCTCAAGTCAGAATAGACCTAGTGTATAAATCATGCTTTTGGATTATCAAAGTTCCACAGCATGACCATTGCACAAGATTTTCAGATTTGAATGAGAGCCGTAAAAGTGGAATTCGCGGAGAGGTGGATGGAACGCACTGTAGTTTGACTGAATTAAACATATGTAAGTGAGCCGGCTAGATGTAATAATAAATGCAACTGCACCGAGTAGAAAAGAGCTGAACTGCGCTGCCAGTTTAAGTGCAAAATGGTACTTCGATGTAAAGTAATGTAATGCACGAGCATGAGTACACAGCTTGCGAATAGTTTTATTTCGTTGAAGGCTAAAATCCCGACATCGGGATCAAAATGCCTCTGTCGGAAAGTAAAGAGAAAGAAAATTCAACAAAAACGGAGAAACGAGCACATGTGATAGCGACAGAAAAAGACAACAGTGTTTCAGCAATTTGAAATTTTGTTTTGCATTGTAATGGACAGCAAAGAGGACAATACAGTACCGATTTCATGGGAAGACTGGAAAGGATTGCTTGAATGAGGTGGAAATTGCGCGGTGAGAATAGAAAGTGAGAGTGTACACGGACAAGGACCAAGACAAAGCTGCGGTCACTATAACAGTGTAGGATAGGTCTAGTATCATCATCAATAGGAAGAGGAGCTTGGATTAGAAACTACTATTTAATTACTCAGCCCAACGCATTTGTCGATGCTTCTACATTGCATCTAGAGGCTATAAGTGTGTTTGAAATGATTTTAAATTGAAGAAAAAGCATGGAAAAGGTATGAACAACATGAAAAGAGTCCGGGATTTGAGAAAACATGAAAGCAGGAATTGCGAAGGGAGAAAGTAAGTTGAAAGCGAAGAAGCGATTGCTGAAAAATACCAGTTTACAGCGTCTGCTTTGTTCCAGGTGTGCAAAATTTATTTGGGAAGCAAAGCGAATCTTTTTAATCTTATTTTTGGGTGGCCCTTTTGGACGACGCTATCCGGGTCAACAGTTCATGGGGATAAAATAAAAACTTATAGCACAAAGCAACTATTGCTTACAGATTTGCTTTAGTTGAACAAGTATAAACAGACAAACAAGCATACACGCACACACACACACTTACACAAGGTACGCACACGCATGCACACACATAAAGTTCTGAGCATTTAGAAGTATGTGGAACAGCGGAAAAACATGAGTAAAAAGGAAGAAGGAACTTAAAGAGTGACTAGAAAGTGGGAAATGGCACTGACAGTATTGTTAGAAGTAGAAGGAAGGGCTCATCGAGCCTACCCAGAAAAAAGACTGCTGGTACAACGATCCTGCGGGATTAACTATCCTGGATGCGATTGTAGTTTTGGAAAGCCAATGACCTGGCAGCGCATGTCGACGCGTTTGGCCACTCGTCTAGACTTTGCCGGTGTTTGACCTGAGCAGAGTGATGGCAACGACCAGGGCTGCGCCGAAAAGTGAGAAAGCCAACATGGCGGCGATGGTGAAACCAGCCATTGACATGCAGATTCCTTGGCTCACTGTAGCCATTACAACTGGATGTCCGTATTGGTGTGGTTGCAAGCGATGGCGCAAAGCACTCGGCAACGATGTTACCTGCAAATCTGTCTGTTTTTGGAAATATGTTTATTCTACTGCGTAAAAGCTCATTCTTTACGCTGCCAATTCGCAGTAAAACGCATATATATGCAGCATAAAAACTAAAAGACATTTCTGCAGAATAATGCAAGCACTGTTCAAGGAGCGGCCAACTGCTGACTCTATTTTTCGAGGCGCACAGTTGAGGCATTTTTGAATGCCTAGTGAAACAGTGAAACCTTGAGGATTACTTCTGCTCTGATTCCAAAAATTTAAACGATAGCGTCGGCTTGGTCCAGTATAGCCCTGCACTGGAAAGTCAAGGGCAGGAAGTACGAAAACATAGACATTATTTGCCATCGATTTTTGATAATGTTTTGTGAACTTACCTCTTCGTTGATGTCCAAAGCACTCAGGTCAGTTCGTACGTCCACAGTATTTTCGTCACTGACATCTCTTTTCCTAAGCACCCTGAATGCAGCAGCTTGCCGGGACGAGGCTGCGCCTCCCCTGGACTTAGTTGCTCCGAATCCTTGCGGCTCCGTACACTGCGGCCTTGGGCACTCGCTGTTTGGCTCTTTGATTGTTATGCTAATCTGGCATTGATAGAACAGTTGCGACCGGTCTGCGTATTTGTACACGTGAGCTTCTTGGCCAGCCATCAGATCTGCAACTGGTCAGTTTTTTTCTCTGCGGGAAAATAGTTGAAGGTCAACATTACAAATGCTTATTTAGCGTGGTGCGTTATAAAAGTGTTACACATTCAGAGATCAAATTTGCGAAAAACAATGGTTGTCCAAATTTAGGATGAGTATTTCCGGCAATTTGAAGAATAGTGGAGTGGAGAGTCACATAAATTTTCAGATGGACAGCCGGACAAGTGAACATTGGAAGTTGGCTGCCTCGATATTTCCAGCGCTGTTGCCCTTGGCAATGTAGTGCCATGTGTTGATGTAGCACCAGTTGTTGTGTTCTTTTAATTTGTTGCGTTTATCTCATCCCATCTAGTCATTGATTATTTGCATTAGTGTGTCGTAAAGCCTTCTCGCTCGTCCAGCGCCATTCAGAGAAATGTTGAAATTTGAAAGTATTCTGCTCGCAGCAAAATTTGTCAAAATAATAAATATTACCAGTTGGATATTCCAGATTATTAAGCAGGTATTTGTCCAGAGCGCAACCATCGGCATTCAGCAGCTCCACTTTATCCCCGTTCCCATCATCCACGAAGCACGAGTGCACCACTGCACAAAATGTATCAACGGTCTCTGAGTCGCATGTCCATTTGTGGTATACTTGCTGACCGATGGTGGCGAATTGTATTGGTTGCCCGGAAGGCCCACCATCCAGAATCTGTAGTATAATTTTGAAAACTCATTTATAATAGGCTTAAGTCAACAGTGAAAATTTTGGCACTATTAAAGCGGAGCGCCAAACAAACCGTGAATGGATCCAACCTTTCCTCCCTGAACTATAGCTAATGAGTCTTGCTGATATTGTTCTGGAAAGACTGTTTTTGGAATGTGCCACTCAGGGCGTCTTCGTACTGGTGGAATGTTGATGGTGTGAGTGGTATAAATGAATTACCTCATATCGGCAGATCGGCATTGGTACCACTTGGGTAGCAAATGCGGTGGTGATCTCGGAAACCTCGATCTGTGTGCTGACGGTTTTGTCGGCCTCCATGTAAAAGCATTGCACCCGATATGCCCGGTCCACCTTTGTAACGAACAGTGGATGGAACGAGATGACAACTGTTGTAGTCACGAAGATGCCACGCGGATTCAGTGACCGAGTCCTTGCAACATTGCATGAGTCGAAAGGAAGCTCGATTCCGGCCACTTGCCGGCCACCCTCATCGTTACGACATCCTTGCTGATCGTACAGTCCTTTCACATAAACGTGCCCTGTAAAAAAATGTTTTAAATTCACGGATCATCTTGGTAGGGATTCATAGTAGCAAAGGACTAATCCATCAGTGTAAAAGACCTAAAACCGTTTTACCTTCCTACTGCAAGTGAGATAGAATTTTCAAGCCTTGGTTTCCTGATGGACGAAACAGAAATTAGAAAACTTCATGAAAATAACCTTCGAACGGATTTCGTGTGTTGAAGTTGACTGTAATCGAGGTGGGACCGCATTCAATTTCAGGTTCTCCTTCCACACCATTATCGACCGGAATGGCCACTGCGAAGCTGATAAGCACAAATGCGCTCGCTAACCTTATCATTGTAGCCGCTGAAAAGACGCGGGAGTGGAAAAAAGGGAAAAGAAAAGTGAGTCGGATTAGCAATGCTGGCGCAGGTGATAGTTGCTGTAGTTATTGTCGGATGAGAATGGTTGGTACCCTGGCGGTTCTTATATACGTTGGAACGATGTTGGCTGACGTCCTGGACAACCAGCTTTCCCGACCTGACCCAATTTCGCTTTTTTATTTTCGTTGTTTTCATTTTTTGCGTGTCCGTTTGTTCGTATGCGGCAGCGGGGAGGGTAGGTTCCAGATTCCGATCAGTTGTTGTTCCATCTCCATTGGTCCACTGCACGCCTGTGGAATAATGTCCTGAAGAGGAAACAAAAGCATGACTAATTGTTTCCCGTTTTTTCGCGTTTCACATTTATCAAACATTTTACCGCCTTCAAAGCACCATTGTTTTTCCAACTCTCAGTGTCGTCTTGCATCGCTGGTACTACCTTCATTCTTGTCTGATTCATGTGGAATGCTCCGCAAAGCGCCTAGGGGCACGTGCGCGTTGATCCTGGATAATGTCTCCGTCCACCTACGAAATGAAAAGGAAAGGGAAGGGAAAGCGATCCTCTGGCGATTTGGGAAAGCGAAAGGGTTCACATATCAAAACGTTCGTTTTTTGTTATTTTTTACCGTTTTCCAGTTCTCGATTTTACTTTTGTTTCGATTTTCATCGAAACCAATAACAGGACTCCCCTCTCTGTCCAACGTTACAAACCTACTTATCCTAAAAAACATTCCCTTTATGTGTGGTCTCATCTGGACCGTGAGTTTGGTGGTATCGGGCCAAGCGCTAGATAGGACAAGTGCAGCATAGAGTTTTTCAAGGACGCAAAACAGTCATAATTTTTATGCGTTTCCGCACACTTTTGCAAATGCAAAAGCGCATATTAACGAGTGGCTGTCGGAGTGTGTATGTACGTATGTGTTTGTGTATGTACTATACGTGTGTTTGTACGTATGTATGATTATGCGTATGTGTGTGTTTGTTTGTGGATATGTTCGCATTTCCGTAATCCACTTTAACCCAGCAAAAAAAACCTGGGAACTTGGAACTGTCGGGGCACGTTCCTACGCGTATGCGACCTCCATTGTTATACGTTTTTGCACATAATGCAAATACTAAAACGTATATTGGCAATAGGCTGTCAGTGTGTGTGTGTGTGTGTCATAATTTTTGTCACCAGCTTTCAACTCGAAGACTAGAAAAGCTAGAAAGTTAAAACTTCCGGAGTATGTGTTCACCCCATATGCGACCCTTTTATGCGTTTTTGCATATATGCAAATGCACAATACATATCGTGATGACCCGATGTGTATGTGTGCATACGTGTGTGAGTGCGTTTGCCTGCATATTTCAACTCATCAACCAAGCATGCTCCGGTGCCAAAATTTTGCCAGTGCGTTCCCCGGCCAATTGCCACCCCAAAACTGTGGCACCAAACCTCACGGACATCTAGGCCCCGCGTACGAGTGCGTGAAAGTTTTGGCAGGAAAACGCTACCCTGGAAACCAGAGAAACTAGAAAGCTGAAATCTTGCGGTTATTTTTCCCGTCCACAAGGAACTCCTAGATTTCAAATTCAGCCTTCAACTGCGCATAGTTCTCACTTGTGACCCCGTGAAGATTCCTGAAAGGAAAATCCGCTAACTCCTGAATCAGAAAAACTGGGAGGCTGAAATTTTAAAGGGATGTTCCCAGCCCATGTGCAACTTAAGGAATTTAAATTCAGCCCCCAGGTATGCGCGATTCCCAATTGCAGCCCTGTGGAGTTTTTTGGCGGGAAAATTCACCAACTCGGGAACCAGAGAAGCTAGAAAGCTGAAATTTTGAGGATATTTTCCCCGTCCAGTTAGAACTAAATGATTTGAAATTTAGCCCCCAGCATGCATGTTTCTCATGTGTAGCCTCGTGAAATTTTTTGCTGGAAAGTTTGCTAACTCGGGAACCAGAAAAGCTGGAAAGCTGAAATTTTAACAGAATGTCCTCTTTTCAAGTATACTTGGTAGATGCACGATTAACTTTCTGAAGTTCGAGGAACATTATGTCATAAATTCTAGCTGTTGTGATTTCAAGCGATCTTACAACAGCACGAGATAGTGGAAAGATGACACGGGCCTGTCCGGTGCGTGTCGCTAATGATAATATCATTATTCTCATAGACGTGGTTTCTACCCATGGAGCCCCAAAAGCTTTTTGGCAAGAAAGCGATTTCGGGAACCGGAAAAGATAGAAAGCTGAAATTTCATGAAAATATTCTATTCCCTAGTGAGGGCCAAAGATTTCAAATTCAGCTTTGATGTACACAAATATGTCATGAACTGTCGTGTCAGAGCTATCGTTGGCAAGATGCCAATTCAGGAAGTACATCAATTAGAACATTCTAACTTTGCAGAATATTTCTTTCCCATAATTGGGCAGAGAAGCATAAAATGAGCTTTAGCATATGCTTGTCTCGCGAGTTCCGATACGTTAAACATTTTGCGTAATAAAAGCAACTTCGCTAACCAGGCAAGCTAGGGAGCTGAAACTTTTTGAGAATATTTCAATTTGAGCTTACAAACACATCTACATATCATAAGTGTCCCAAGTGAGTTTTCTGTTATGGGCAGTGTTGGTATCCAAATAATTTAGTAACCAAAGTGATCAGAAGTAATATTTTTCTGAGCATGTTTGCTGTTCCTGAACAAGCTAATAAACGTAAGATGAATTTTTGTTTAGAAAAGCGTACAAACACATTAAATGATCAACTTGCAATACCGCAGTTGGACTCTAGCAGCACAATTGATCTCTCTATAAAACGCATAATCGCACCAGCAGGTCTGATGCGTCGCAGCCTGAGCAGAAGTTACTGAAGTCATTCTGAGAAGTGCAGAAGATCCTATAGTACTGAAATGCATCACACCGAATTTTCGCAAATTTTTTCAAGTGAGTTTTTATCATACAAAAAAAAAAAAAATACAGCAGTGTAGGTGAAGTCACGTATTCATGTTCAGTTGCAAATGAACAGGGACAGGATGATTTTCCACTTTCACTTCTCTGCACCAGGATGAGATCATGAAAAAAGAAAAAAAAAAGCATTTCTCAGCATCTTTCATAAATTAGAAACATATTGGCAAAATTGATAATTTGGAAAAGATACTTATTATGCCCGTTGCTTTCCAGCTCGTTAGCACATCCAGAATAATTTGTTCGCGTGTTGCTGCGCTTCAGTCACACCATACTAAAGTCCTAAATTGTTCAAGAAATTTTCTTTTACGTGTATTTCGCGGAATCCATTCATTTATTATTTCGTCGAAGAATGATAAGCCATTTAGCGGTATATGAGAAGTTTTCAGCATCTTCGAATACAAAAAAAGAGCGAAAACAGATGGCAGTACGACTGTACCATATGTCGAGACCGCTGTTGAACAGACCGAGAACCAGGTCTTATGGCAATTTTTTAAACGCGGCTTGTGAACTTTCCTGAGCCTTTTGCCGGAATAGTTTTTCTGCCGCTAATAAAATCCAATCTTATTTCGAGAACATCATCACTTGCGCATATTTCTTGATTTCTTCACTGCCATGACCTTTCCAGCTTAGCGGCTAGCTATTACCCCGTAAATACCTTTTTGTGTCAGAATTATGCTCAGTTTGTCTTTCCACGCACCACTGAGATCTTAAAAAATTTATGCACATTCTAGCGGTCTTAAAAAATTTATCACATCACCATCATCGCAATCGTGTCTGTTCCCGATTAGTTCGCTTTGCTGTAGAAATAAGCAGAAGAAGCCTGAAAGTCTGAGGGGATCGGCTAAAACAGCTCATCGATCGTATCGTCACAAAGTTCCAACTTCTTTTGAAATCCAGGCTGGAACGCACCAGGCCCTCCAGTGCGATCATGCGTTTTTGCACTAAACTAGCAGATCGCTGTCAGCAAGAATGGTCCCTATGCTGTAGCCTAATATTTGGGCCCATACTGCTTTGATTCTTTCCGGCATGCAAAGAGAAGGGCATCAGTTGGGATGAAGCTAGTGCGTTATAGAGCCGCAAGGACATCCAGGTGCATAATTACCGGTTTTTGAACGAAGTCCGGTCGTTTTTTCGGTAAATGCTCGCTTTGTGAAAAATGACAAGTGCGAATTTTTTGAAAAAATGCAAATTTTCAATCCACTAGAAAATGGAAGTATTGCTCGTTTGTCAAAAAATTCATGTATGCAAACTATCTAATGTTTATTTACATATACGATTGCGGTTCCGGTCCGAGTTGCTAACGATTTTTGGGTTGATGAGCTGCTTGAGGCTCTGATTGGGGTGCTCGACAGCTGAGTTTAAAATCTTTAACTCGTATGCGAATAGATAATATTGCTGCAAAGCTTCAGCTTCCTACCTTGCCTGATTCGCGAAATCGTTTCCCGCCAACATATTTTTTTGGGGGACTCGTGCGCAGGTCTAGGTGCGTTTGGGGGATCATCTTGAAACGGGAGGAAAACAAATGGGGTAGGAACATATACCCAAAGTTTCAGCCTCCCAGCTTTCCTGGTTGCTGAGATGAAGGTGGGTGATAAAATGCACTTGCTTTCCGAACACATCCACACACAGATAGCCTATCGACAATATGCGTTTTTGCTGGCTGCAGCAGCGCTGTAGCGCTGTATAGAAAAACGCATAAAAGATGTGGAATTTTAACCCACAAAATGACTGCCAAATTTTTGCTCATCCACACATTCATAAATTGTCATTTAACTGCACATGTCGAATTCTCACCTCCAAGTTCACACGACTTAATTCAGGAACCTTCAGGATCCCAAAAAATTTAGCTGGAGCGAACAAACAATTCCTTGGCTATACCATCACGAAGTTTTAATTTCGGTCTGTGTATACAGCTAGGGGATGAAACACAGACTGCGCCATAAAATGTCTTCAAACACATG